TGGAATGGTAGCTCAGTGGTAGCACACTTGCTTAGCATGTGTGAGACACTGGGTTCAATTCTCAGCACTGCATATAAATAAATAAAATAAAGGTACAACTAACAAATCTACACACACACATTATATATATAATTTTTTAAAAGAGAATATCAAAAGAAAATTTAATTACTTTCAAATGGGACTAGAACTTGGCAAATTTCTAAGTTAATCTCTTAAGTGTATTAGAAAAATTCCCACTCTATTAAAATAATCACTTTGTTCTCCCTACACTTTTGTGATTCTGTATCTAGTGGAAGAAGCTGTGAGGATCTGTAAGTAGAGAATTGCTGGCCTCTCTGTGAGTCAGGTCAGGGAATGAATAAACTAGAGGGCTAGGTGATCAAGCCAAAAGAACTGGAGTCAGCAACTCTTGGGACTTGGTGTATAAACACTTCACCTTGCCTCCTGGGCTGGCTAATTCTGAGATAAGTGTTTTACATCATTTCCTAGTGCTTCCCCCTGGGATTAGGCTTCAGTAGGCCCTAGGAGGTCACCTTATTTCCTTGTTTCATTACACTTCCCAAACCCACGTTTCTTGCATCTCTCAAATAATTGTTTGCATGAAAACCTTCACCTCAGATTCTGCTTCTGAGGAACTCAAACTATAACAGATCCTTTTGGATAATTTTAATAAAAAGAGAGGTGTGGTTACACTTATACTTCTAAATGATTTTCCTAGACACTGGGTGAAGACTACAGAGAGGGCAATCTGTAGAGGATAGAGACCTTTGAGAAGGCTGTTGCTATCTTCTGGGGGAAATGCTGGTGTCTCTAGCAAGGATTCTGGCAAAGGAAATAAACAGAAGCAGTTGAGTGTGTTTTAGAGAAGGGACTGATAGGATTTGCTAATGGATACACAGTGCAGGATAACAGAGCAGCCCCTGCTATTTGCCTATCTGATATCTGTTCTATCTTTTTTTCCACACAGCAGAACCCTGATTTGTGCAGGGTGGCAACATGCCCAGCTAAAATTCTTTATTTTCCAGCCTTTTGTAATGTTGGAGTGGGCCCTGTAATTTATTTCTGGACAATGAGAGATAAACAGAAGTCTGCTAGGAAATTCCTGAAATGTTTTGTTATTTCCATTATAGGCTCTATTTCTTCCACTTTATTAATATCTTTCTTTTCAACTGGAATGTTGATATGAGGCTGGAAGTGGGGCTGCCACCTTGCAACCATCAGGAAAGTGGAGAAGAAAGGCAGAAGTCTGGGACATCATTGTCATTGAGAAGGCACCATACAGACCTGATTGTCTGCCTCTGATCTCATTATGTTAAAAACATGACTGCCCTCTGGATTCTGTTGCATGCAGTAAAACACAATCTCTAATGATTACATTTTGGGCCAAGCAAATAATGCAAATTACTAAATGGGAAGTAGGGAGGAACAGATTTGCTATGAGGGCATGAGGTTGGGTAAGGGAGTCAATAGCTCTATTTGAGATGCTATTGGATATCCAAGGGGAGATATGAAACAGGAAGTTGCATATATGATATAGTCTAGAGCTGAGGGTAAAAGGGAACTTAGAAATACAGAGTTGGTAGTTAAATATTAGCATCTACATGGTCTTAAGCTCTAGGATTAGAGGAGATCACTTTAGATGAGCATATACGTAGTGAAGAAGAAAGTTTCAATAGCTTGATCAGGAAAGGAGGAGCCAGCAAATGATCTAGCAAAGGCATGGAAATAGAAGAAAAACCAGGACTAAATGGTACTTCGGAAGCCTGGAGAAGAGAAACTATTTGGAAAAGAAAAGAGGGTGAAATCTGCTGAGAGGAGAAGTAAGATGAGAAGGAAGACTTGACCACTAGATCCCACGAGATATAGATCATCATGATTCAGTGATGATGGTAAGAGACTGATTCTGTTTACAAAAAGGCCCATCTCCCTACTAGGTAGGTATTAGATGCTCAATAAATATTTATTTCATGAACAAAAGAAGGAACTTATAAATTTTATGACTTTCTAAGGATAAGACCCATGGATTTTTCTCTTACCTAGAATAATTTTTTTTTTTACCTGCCTCAAACCAGTCCTGAGCAGATAGTTCAGGGAGAATTTAGAGAAAGAGCATGCAAGAGAAAGTATACCCTTACATTTACTACTTCTGTGTCTTGAAAGAATGGAAGAAATTACAAGAAGGAAAAAACTGAACATGTATTTTGGATGTACTTAGGCTTTTCTTACAAGTTGATGCATAGATCATGCAAGAGAGGGGCTGAATTGTTTTTCTTTTCTTTTCTTTCTTTCTTTTTTTTTTTTGGCACTGGGGATTTAACCCAGGGGTACATAACCATTGAGCAACATCCCCAGCATTTTTTTTTTTTTTTGAGATAGGTGCTTACCAAGTTGCTTAAGGCCTTGCTAAGTTGCTGAGGGTGGCTTTGAATTTGTGATCCTCCTGCCTCAGCCTCTGAGTCACTGGAATTACAGATGTGTGAGGCCATGCCCAGCAAGGGTCTGAATGTTAATCAGGGGCTTTTAAACTTTATATTTTAATTTGTTCCAAGGTTTACATATTCTGAAATTGATCACCAAAACATGAATAGTGAAACCGTAATTTTGTTCATGTTTCTAGGAATGATATTATCAATAGAGAGGAATAAGTGGGAAAACAATGCACGTTTCATGGAGTTCCTAAAAATTGATCAAATGTGTGAAAAAAATTTACGTCTCAAATTAGATTTCAAAAGAGTGAGAATTATATGATGTACCAAAAGTCCTTATCTAGTAAAGGAAAGCCTTTCTTGTTTATTAGATATACATAATAATTTTGTAGGAGGCAAAATTGTTTATTTCTTATGTCCTGGAGAACTGGCCTTTGCATTTACTGGAGTTTAAATAAACTTGAAGTTTAAACAGCATTCAAGGACTATGTCTGAGTGAACATATTTTAATGTTTGTTTGTGTGTGTGTGTGTTTACTTGGGGGTTGAACCCAGGGACTTGTGTAAGCACTAGAGCCCTTAACTTATCTCCAGCCCCTTTTTAATTTTATTTTGAGACAAGGTCTCACTGCATTGCCCAGGCTAGCTCAAGTTTGAGATCCTCCTATCCCAATTTCTGAAGTAGCTGGTATTACAGGCATGTACCAATGCAACTGGCCAGGTTTATCTTTTTCTGGTTAGATAGAGCAGTTTATAGGAGACAATAGCCTAAATCTTCCTGAGGCTCTGGTTTGAAATAATGCTAATAGCTAGAACGCTAAAACAAAACAATACCTTAATTTTAATTTTAAAATAGACATTTTTTTTTCCTCAAGATGATGGTAGGAGATGGTAGGGCAAGGAAGACTTTCTAGAAGCAGAAAGTTGAGAGAATTCTTTGATAAGACAAAGAAATGGGGAGAGGTTATTAAAGAAAGAGAACATGGGCAAAGTTGTGCAGGTATGGAACACCACGATCTGCTTGGGAGAATGTAAGTTCTGTTTGGGGTAGTCTAGGGTGTGAGGTATGGGAGGACAGGAGATAGGGCTGAAGAGGTAGATAGGACTCAGAATCAGAAAAGATCATAGGTGCCAAATATTAGAAATTTGAAATTTATCCTATATATTATGGAAAACCATGATAGGATTTTGCACAATTTGTTCTTTGTACCTAAAGCAGTTTTATGTTTATGTTTTTAAATATCGTCCTAAAATGTTTAAATCTTTAGACTAACAGTTTTGAATGCTTATTTCACATTACATTCAACCACAGCACTTTTAAAAATACAGCTGAATGAGCCCCAACCTCATAAAGGTTCTGATTTAATTAGTCTGGGGATGAGGCCCAGGCATCAGCATTTTTAAAGAGCATCAAATGATTCTAAATGCAACCAGCGTTGAAAATCACTTATTTTATGGTGAATTACTTCAATCAAATAATCAGATCAACATCTGACTGAGAACTGTCTAGGACAGCAGGTGCTCCATCTTTAATGTGCATATGAATCACCTGGAGATTTGATTCTGCCTTGCAAGTTCTGGGTGGAGCCTAATATTCTGCAGTTCCAACAAATTCCCAGGTGATGTGGATGATGCTAGCAAAAATGGTCTAGAACCTTGGATGAAGAGGAAAGGGTTTGAATGGCAGTATGGAGGAGTAATTTGGGAACACAGGCACCTGTAGAATAGTTCTTGCTGGGTCATATTCCCTTTGGAAAAAAATAAGACAGGGCTGCGGTTGTAGCTCAGTGGTGGAGTGATTGTCTCTCAGTATGAGGCACTGGGTTGGATCCTCAGCACCACATAAAAAAATAAATAAACAAAATAAAGATATTGTGTCCAACTATAACAAAAAATATTTAAAAAAAAATAAGATGATATAAGGACATTAGGGACAGAAATGTCCAAGGAAAAGGGAAAGGGATGAGAGAAACCAGGGAGAAGCTTACCTAAGATCTTGAGTAAGAGGGAGAAGGAGTGAGTGAATGACACAGGACTGCTTCAGGCTAAAGATCTTGGCCAAGTTATTTTATCTTCTTTAAGCCTCATTTTCCTGGGGTGTTTCAACTACAGTGACTCACCTGTATCAGAATCAATTAGGGACACTTACTAAATACTGGAACCTCTAGGCCTGACCTCATGCCAAATGAATCAGAATGGAGGAAGAGGAAGGACAAGAATGTGAATGACAGCAAGCACTCTCAGTGATTATTATGCACCCTACGTTGGAAAAATACAACTCTGATGGTTAAGTAAGATAACAAGTGACTTGGTAAGTAGTAACCATGGTAATGAAGATGGTGGTAATGGTCCAGTCTAGATTCCA